AAAAAAGCTCGTTTTTTGCCGTTTTTCCGGGGGAAAAAAGAAGTGCGTTATCAGATTAAACGCGTAGCTCACACTGACTGACTAGTGAGTCAGAAGAAAGAAAACGAAGTCAATCTTTCCGAGAATCTAAGAATCTGAGAATCTAAGAATCTAAGAATCTAAGAATCTAAGAATCTAAGAATCTAAGAATCTAAGAATCTAAGAATCTAAGAATCTAAGAATCTAAGAATCTAAGAATCTAAGAATCCAGAAATTTCAAAATCCAAAAAATCTAGAAACCGAAAACACCCAATTTTTGCGACTTTCACTAAAAATCGGAAAAATTCATTTTTTCGAAAAAAAAAGCGGGAAACCTAAAAATTCAAAAATCCAGAAATCTTTAATTTTTTTTGGGAAATCCTGATTTTCAGCTATAATCTGCTATTTCCAGATTCCATAGCTGAAAAATCCGAAAATCTCCATGATTCTGATCGGATTAGTTTTGTATTTTCACCTATTTTTTAGTCGGTCGTGGGAAGTTTTTTCCCACTAGAAGAGGAGCAAAAACACAAGTAGTAAGAAGCGGAAATAGCCAAGAAGAAGGTCTTCAAGAAGACAAAAACTCTCCAAAGAAGAAGGATGCTAACATGTATACACACTGAGCAGAAGACGTCGTCCCGACGTCTTTTTTATTCTGCGGAGTACACGCAGCTCTCGGAGCAAAAGCTCCCAACACAATCGATGGGACTTTTGGGAGAAGAAGAAGAGGGGGAAAAAGAGAGCCAAAGAAGGAGAAGAGGGAAGAGGAGGAGGATTGGAAAATGATGATGATGGAGCAGAAGAGAAAGAGCGAAAAAAGGGCTTTTATGGATGGAAATATTGATGTTTGATGATGCGTTTTTTGGAGCTAGAAGACAAAAAATAAGGAAATTTCGAATTTTCGAAAAAATGTTAGAAATTCAGAATTTCAGAGCTTCAGAAATTCGGAAATTCAGAATTTCAGAAATTCAGAAATTCAGAAATTCGGAAATTCAGAAATTCATAAAATTCAGAAATTCAGAATTTCAGAAATTCAAAAATTCAGGCATTCAGAAAAACCCAAATTTTTTTGAATTTGGCGCCAAAACGCGGGTGTCCCAGAGGAAGGGAAACAAGGCGTGTTTGCCCAAACCTA